TTTCCGAAGTGTTTGTGAATGCCACAGAACTGCACGCTGTGAGAAGGGGGGGGGAGGTACAGGAGCTGCTCATATCAATTCATTTATTGTCATTGTACAGTAAATGGGGCGGTGATCTCTTTAAGTGGCTGGGGAGGGTCAGGGTCATTTTATGAAGTCCGGGGGGCAGGGAGAGATTGTTGAGTGAGGAGAGGCGATTAAGCCAAACAAGGGTTTGTACATTTAAAACAACAACTGGGAAATCATGCAACTCTTTCAAAATTTGGGGGGAGGGAATGTAGGCGCAATTATTATCCTATCTGAAGTTCCTTAAATAAGTTTGGTTAACCACTTTAGTGAAGTGGTTTAAGCTTGAAATTAGATCCAGATGAATGAAAATAAAACGGTTAGACATTTGTTCCTAGTAATTGAGAGATTTTCAAGGAAATCTGTGTTCTTGTTTATCCCAAGATAAGCTTCGTTATACTGCTCCTTTATATTAGATATTTTCTTTCAGTTCTTCTAAAACTCTTTATTCTCCTGAAAGCATTTTATAGTTTTTCAGATACCATGTTGAGGGTGGAGAACGGTGACGACCTACATACAAGCGGAGGAATGGCGCCGCTTTGCTCTGTGCTGCTCACCCATTCACAGAAAGTGTGTTTCAAAAACACATTCTTGGAATGGTCTTCTACCCTTTGGACTAGCCAAAACAGCGTTAGCTTTGCACACCAGGAAAATGGCCAGCTGAGCAAAATAAATGGCTGCTATAATTAACAGTAGGGGCGAAGGGGGGTTTAATAAAATTAACCCCCTTTTTCCATCTTTTTTTTTATTGCTTTCTTGCTTGCATTTCTTGGGTGCTTGCTTTCTGTGACATGAAAATACCTGTGCTTTCCATTTATTCATCAGGGACTCAAAGCCAGGTTGCTATTTTCTGAGCCCATGAATAGAAAATAGCTTGTATATCTTTGCAGAAAATACGGCATGTTTTTACACAGTCTATGTTATTCAGATGGCTGTAAAAATCTCTCAATCATGCATTCAGCAGAACCTGCCAAGGCGATCTGTTTTTTAATGATTCAGACCATTTAATAAAAATTTCCTCCACAGGCTAAAGGCAGCAATTGGAGATTATCAGAATTTATCACTTATCTGTCATATTTGGCATTTTCAATGTTATGGAGATAGCCAATTCCGTATCATAATTTTCATACCTGCCAACATTTCAGAATCGGAAATGACCTGCTAATTTCAGGGTGCCCTGCACAGCACAACAAACTAAGTTGTTTTGCTCCTGCCTTTTCTTCCAAGGCAATACAGTATTCTCTCTCTAGGATCCTAACGGCATAATCTTTGTGGGTGGGGTTTTGTTTTGCTTTCTATTTTTGTGCCTTTCAGTCATTATTGACTCCTGGTGACTGCCTGGACAAGTCCACAAGTCCATGCCATTTTCTTGGCAAGCTTTTCAGAATAGTTTTGCCATTTCCTTCTTCCAAAGGCTAAGAGAAAGAGTGACCCAAGGTCACCCAGTTGTGCCTAAAGCAGGATTAGAACTCACAGTCCTCCAGTTTCTAATCCACCTTCTTCAACCAGTACACCAAACTAGCATTCGGCTTTGTGCAAGTCCAATCAAACAAGGTACCCAAATGACAGTTTCTTAATGTTTCTTTCATAAGTTTGCACATTGAAAAGAAGCTTTTATAGTCCAATTCTGGAAATATTTCAAGGACCACATACCAATTTTAATTAAGTGGATAGAGCAGATAATAAGGAAGGTTATCAGATTAATCCCTGTTTGTTTGCTTAGAAGTAAGCAAGAGCATCAGTTGAAAAAACTCCTTGTCAGCATGGGTACTTATGAGTCTCACTAGATGGAGTGGGGTATATTCCTAGGCAAGTGTGAATATAATGCCAAATTCAGTAAACCATGTTACACAAAAGGCTGGTTCTTCCAACAACAAACACCCCACCTCCTGCTCAATAAAAACATCCTCAGAAGCAAGTTTTTCTATGAAATGTTTGAATAAATGATTTGCCCAATGTAATCTTACATGAGCCTATTCCAAAGTGAATTCCATTAGGCTTATTCCTAAGTAAGAAAGTAGTAGAATTGCAGCTTTATTAAGCAGCACAAGAATTCCTTCACTTCTACCTCTTTCCCCACTTCTGACCGTTGGCTTATAATATAGAAATAAATTGCCATCTGGAAAAATATTTTTAATTTGTGCTTCACGTTGCATGCATCAGAATCTTACTAAGGATAGCTAGGCTTCTTCACATATCTCTTTGTTCTAATCTGCTCTGCATTATTTAAGCAAATAATAAACTTATGAGGTCCTGGACACCCAAAGGAATCGCCTGCCCTAAAATATGGGGTGCCGGGGAGGGGGGGCTGTAAATGATTACAATTGCTAATTTATCATTTTAACCATTATGAGGTTGCCTTTGCCCTTAAGCATAAGGAGGAAAAGCCCTGAACAATGTATAAAAACTATTGTAAACATTCTAAAGCAAAAGCAAGTAAAATGAAAAGCAGTTCATTAAGATAGAACTGTTGGTGGAGCTGGTGGCTGAGGCATGGGAAGACCAACATAAGAAGGTAGCTTTTTAAACTATGTCTAAAATATGCCAGCATTGGAACTTGGCACATTGCAGAGGATAGGTTATTTCAAAGCCCAGATGCCACAATGGAGGTCTTCCAGGTGGCGGTTCCTAGGCTGGTGCGCAAAGAAAAGAGTCTTTCTTGACAATCATATGTACCCCAGTGGCTAGTGTAACTGGAAATGCTGAATGATTTTAAAGAGATCCCTTTGGCATGTCTGTATATCTCTCTATAATTCAGGTTGGCCAGGGCAAAGACCTGCACAGGGCAGATCCAAGGGCAGATCCAAGTACTGCCAGGGCAGATCCAAGTACTGCCATATTGTTTTCAGAGAGGGAAAAAAATCCTCTTTCCCTAACAGCTGCATGTTCTGCCAAAGCAGACTTTTCGATATAGAACATTTCTATCTTAACAACTGGAAGTGGACTATCTCTCACCATCATGTTACAGTAGGATCCTTAAAAAATAGGTCTGATGACTTGGAATCTCTTCCTTCCTTCCCTCTTTGAGACGTGCTTCAGAGAACTCCCCAACATGGCAACTGGTTTTCAAACTCTGAGTCTATAGCATTTATTGAGAGAGAAATTAACAGTGAATTGATACCAGGGGTGGTAGAACTTCATTAATTAGCTTGAGCAGTGTTGTCTAAGATTATCACAACATTTTTGGGCTGTCTCTTGTCCTATGACAGGGATAGATAATCTAGTGTTTTTCAGATACTTTGACTACAACTACTAAAATCCTTTGCTATTGATTTAACTGACTGAGGCTGCTGGGAACTGAGGTCCAAAACACCTGTTATATGGCTATAATTCCCATAACTCTGAGATTATCTATCTATCTATCTATCTATCTATCTATCTATCTATCTATCTATCTCAATCTATATAATTAGTTTTTTTATACTCGGCGCTAAACTTATTCTTGTCAGCAAGGTACCTTAGAAACAGTGTTTCATTTCAACAAGACACAAAAAGCAGTGGCCTGATTATTGTTTGGTGCAATTTTGCTGATCGACTAAATACCTAGGAGGATCTGTCTGTCCGTATAAATGTGCACCCACACACAGAATGATGCTGTGTTCCTGCCTTGTTGATCTTCCTTGGCTACTCCTGCAATCCTTTACGCTGGGCCATAATTTTACACAGGCTTTGTTACATGATTAGGTTGTACATGATGGTGGTTCCAATTTTCAGCCGGGTGTGGTATTTCCAGAGGTTCAACAGGGCCCTGTAGAATGTCTCCAGTTCTTGCTAAGGCCTTTGCTTCAAGCTGCCTAACAAAATGAGCTTTGATTCCTGCCTTCTGGGTCTACCCGCATATAAACAGAAATGGCTTTTCAGTTTCTCCAGAGGCACTTAGGGGAAAAAACAGGACGTGAATTGCAGCATCAAAGGAAATGTAATTTTCTTGGAATCTCACCTGAGGGAGGCATCATTTTGTTGGAAGATGTATAGATGGTCTGTTTCCTTTTTCTGCTGTTCTGGGTTGCTGCAATG